ATAATTTAATAAATGGCTGCTATTATCATTAACAATTTTTTTTTGTGTGTGTGTGGAGATTTCATAGATTGTGCTCGATTCTGGCTGTGAAGAGTGGGACAAACGATGAAAATTGTCTTTCTTCAAGAATCACAACAGTTAGATGAATTTCTTGTAGAGATGAAGGGGCTATGAGTCCGAGGTCCCCCAAACCTTTGTTCTCCCAAACCCCCGGTCCACCAAAATCCTGGCTTTTTCGTCTGTTAGTATATCTGGGCCAGAGGTTGATTTTCCCCACCTTTGGTAACTTCTCGTACTTACTTTCTGGGTTTCTTTCTGTGACTGGAGAAGCTTGCTGTGAGTATTCCCTACCTCCTATCATCAGCCTGGAGGTTTCCAAGACCTCTCAGCATGTTGGATGATGTCGGACAGTTGGCTCTGGGACCCAGGCTTGCTCCCAAGTCTTGCTGGCGGCTGCTGCTGGCCTCCCGAGCGTGCAGCTGGGGGAAGAGTGTGGTCACTCCTGGGGGCCAAACTGAGGCCTCTGAGTGGAGTTCAGGGATGCAGGGAGATGGGCTCTGCAAAGCAAACAACGTGAGGTTCATTGACATAAAGATGGCCCCTTTGGTCCCTAGGACATGCTATTCCACCAGATTGCAATAATTATGCCTGCCATCCACTGAGTGCTTACCTCATGCCAGATATGCATGGAGTACTAGTTTGTAATTCCCATTTTTCCAGCAAGGGCATTGAGGCTTTGGTACTGATGATTACTTCCTATGACTTCTTGGTTTTTTCCCCTGATGTCGAGAAAATTTCTCAGCATCAGCGTGTGAAGACACAGGCAGGATGGTATAGTGGAAGGAGTGTTGACCCGTAAGGCAGATGTTCACCAGCCTGTCCCCTCGCACCACTCTTTCCTGTCGCCCTTCCTTCCTCCCTTCCTTTTAGTTTATAAGATCCGGAGCTTGGCCTGGAGAAGGTGACACTATGATGACACTAGGATCCTGAGCTTTGGCTCCAGACATTCTCAGAGTTGAGTCCTGGCTCTGCCATTTGCCACTTGAGGGGCCTTGGGAAGTGGGGACCTCCTCTAAGTCTCAGTTTCCTCATCTGGGGATGATAATTGTCCCCTTTCACTGTTGTGGAGACTAAGTGAGGTAACACAGGGTAACACCCCTGGTAAGTGTCATTACATGTAAGCTAAAACCGAGAGATTGTTTTGTATTATTCTTTCTTTCTCAGACATCCTGGTTGCCCCTAAATGAGTTGGTGGTTTTAAAGCCTTTTTTTTTTGAAAAGAGTGTCACAGACTTTGTTGAGACTCTCAATGAATGTTCTGGACTCTCTCAAGAAAATGCATGTTCACTCAAAATCATATTCAGTTTCAGAGGGTTCAGGACCTTCCAAAGCTCCTTGTCTGAACTCCAGAAGGAGGCCTTCCTTATCTCCTCTCTGACCCCTGCTGACCCGTGGCTGAGGGCAAGGCAGGCAGAGGCACCAGCCACGAGGACTGGAGGGCTGGGCTTCCATTTCTTCTTCTGCCCCATTCTAACAAGCAGCCTCCTGACTTCTTGGCCCTGGGGTTGCCGCCCAGAACAAGCACCGGGAATGTCCTGCAGCTCTGCTAAGGGGGGAGGGAAGGTCAGTCTGTGTCTTCCACGCTGGATTATTTCAGGGGTGACAGAGGAATGAAAGGGGAGGCAGCAGCAGAGACTGTGGGATCCCAGGAAGACCAACGCTGCTGTGTAGTGATGGCTTGCTCCTCCCAGGTTCCGTCCTCCCAGGGACCGTCCTCCCAGGAACTGTCCTCGGTGCTTTGCAGTCCTCATTTCTAATCCTCACAAGCACCCTACCAGGTGGGTACTGTTATCACTCCCACTTTCCAGATGAGGAAACTGAGTAAGATTAGCAAGCGGCAGAGGTGGGGGTCAGGTCCAGTCTGTCGCAAGTCCCGGAGTTCTGCTGTGCCAGGCTGTTTCCCAGATGGAGTCAGCCTCCGGGTGAAGGGGAACTTCATGCCCTTTGCAGTTGATGAAGGAAGTGCTTTTCCTCCCGGAGGCCAGATGTCCGGGAGCGCTGGCATTGTTATGTGCTCTCCATGGCCTTCTCAGTGCTGAGCTGCAGACATGTGTATTTTTAGAAAAGGAAGAGACTTCTGTGTCTACTGTTGATTATGCACAGAGACATATCAGCTTCTAAATACTAAAACCAGCCAATGCAGCGTAGTGTCAGCCCGGTGGATGCTGCGTGCTGGTGGCCCGGTCTTCTGGCTAGGTGGTATTTGCCGTGATGGCTTCAGGGACAGGACCGATCTCAGGTCTCTTTTCTTGGTAGACGTAGCACTGAGTCGTCACAGGGATCCTTGTGTACTCCCCCCACTCTAGGCTTGCTACCAGCGCAGCTCTTGGCTTGTTGGCAGCTGGCGAGGGGACGTCCCTTTCTGTACTTTGTTTCCCTGCTTGCATTTCCCCCCTTTTTTGTCTCTCTACCCCCACCCCATCCCCACACCTTTTCTTCCCTCTAAGACCAAGTGCATTTTGAATCCTTTATTTTATTTTTTATTTTTCCGTTACAGTTGACCTACAATATTATATTAGTTTCAGGTGTACAAATAGTGATTAGACATTTATATAACTTACGAAAGTGATTAGGCTGCTACCCACCTGACACTGTACATACTTATTACAATATTATCGACTATATTCCCTGTGCTGTACTTTCCATCCCTATGACTGTTTTTGTAACTGGCAATCTACACATTTTGAGTTCTTGTTATTGTCAGAGAGGTGTAGATTGTGTGCCACCTCAGGTACCCATGTATAAAGCCACACTGGTTGCCTGGCACTCCAGGGCCAAGCAGCCGCGCACAGAAGGCCAGGGCAGCGTGGTACAACGTGGAGGTCCTCTGTGTCCCCATTCCTGCTCCCATTCACAGCTGACACGCACCAAGCTCTCCTCACATGCCAGTCACTGGCTCTGCAGATGGTCAGTCCACTCCGCCGCCGGCACCGTGAGGGCGGCTCTGGTATTATCTGGATTTTCCAGATGGGAAACAAGGCTTGGCTGGGCCCGTGACCTGCCCGTGGTCACATGGCTGCGGTAGTGCCTGTGCTCAGGTGGGAGCTGGGGTGAGTCAGCACAGAGCAGGAGGGAGGGTGGGGCGTGCCCCCACCATGCCTGTCTTCTTGCCCCCGGGCTGCTGTCCTTTGGTGTGGCACAGGCAAGCCAGAATTTCAGGTCCTCTGGAGGATTAGGCTTTCTGACCTTCTCCAGTCTGGCAAAGAGGATTTGGATGGGATTTCCTTGCAGTGGGGATTTTGTCTTAATGAGCGCTGCAGAACTGGGCCAGCTGCTCCTGGGATGTGCTGTGTCATTCCTGCTCACTCACTGCTGTGACCTCCCCTGCCTCTGCCCCTTTATACCAGGAGTGAAGACTGTATCTGTCGAAAAGACATTCGGGAGGAAAGAGACTGCGTGTTTACGCTGACCGTGAGGATCTATGTATAGGATGTTAAGCTACCACTGCTAGGATGCTTCCTTATCTTATTTTGATAGTTTAGCAGATGTTCTTCATTCATTCATTCATTTATTCATTCATCCATTCATCCATTCATTCATTATCTATTGATTAATATGATTAAAACATAGACACATGAGGTGTGACAATTAAGTTCGTGAACTTGTTGCAATAATGTTGCTAACCGTTTTTTGATATCAGAGAGATTATTCATTATGAATTTGTATCAGCTAGACAAACAGTTAACCAAGTTTACTATTTGGAAGTGCTGAAAGGCTGCATGAAAAAGTTTGATGACCTGAGCTTTTCACCAACAATTCATGGCTCTTGCATCACAACAATGCACCAGCTCACACAGCACTGTCTGTGAGGGAGTTTTTGGCCAGTAAACAAATAGCAACTATATTGGAACACCCTCTCTACTCACCTGATCTGGCCCCCAATGACTTCTTTCTTTACCCGAAGATAAAAGAAATATTGAAAGGAAGATATTTTGATGACATTCAGGACATCAAGGGTAATATGATGACAGCTCTGATGGCCATTCCAGAAAAAGAGTTCCAAAATTGCTTTGAAGGGTGTACGAGGTGCTGGCATTGGTGCATAGCTTCCCAAGGGGAGTATGTCGAGGGTGACCGTAGTGATATTCAGTAATGAGTTACGGAGCACTTTTTCTAGGATGAGTTTGTGCACTTAATTGTCAGCTCTGTATGTCAATAGCTCACCCTTAAAGGAATTTGCCATGGAGACAAAAAGACCCAGAACCAGCCAATATGCTAAGGATTTTTCATGTATAGTTTCAGACCAACCTGTGAGGTATGTAGGAAACTGAAGAAAGGGGAGCAGTGGAGAGTAGTGATTAAGAGAGCGCCTGGAGGGTAGGACTGCTACACTGAGAGTCAGTGCTGTTGTTTGCCGTCTGTGGCCCTTGGGCAAATTACTCAGCCTCTCTGACCGCCTGTTTTCTCATCTGTGTAATGGGGATAACAGTGTCTTCCTCATAGGATTTTGAAGACCAAATCAGACAATGTTTGTAAATTTCACAGGCCCTCTTTGGTGTATATAGTAAGGTCTCAATAAAAAGTGGCTGTGTTCCCTTGTATTATTAGGTATTCTTATCTCTTTGTTTTAAGATATAGAAACAGAGCCTTGGGAAGGCTGCCCCAGTCCAGGCCACACAGTGAATACAGCAAAGGACAGGACGGTAACATTTGCCATTAAATGACACATTGTGCCATGAAGAGGTTCAAGGGAGGGAAGTGGCACCGGCTTTGTGTGGGTGGAGGGAAATGCTGCAGGCGGGCAGGCTGGCATGGGACTAGGGAGGACTTCCTGGAGGAGATGGCATTTGAAGGAGCGGCCCATTTCGACAAGTGGAGACGGGGAAGCTAAGTATCGCTGGTGGAGGGAACAGGCGGGGCACATGTTCAGTGATGAGAACTGGGTAGCCTGTGAGAGCTCAGGAGCCCTCTGATTCAGAGCAGAGCAGGGCTCTGTAAGTCCCATGAGGGTGGGGCTTGGGCTGGGTTTGCCCTGACCTAGAATAATGCTGTCACCTGGGAGGGACTCCATAGTAGGACTGAACAGCAGTGTCTGGAGGTGGTAAAGCTTTAGTTGGTGAAGGGGAGTGGCTGGGGAGGAAGGAATTCAGAACTTCATTTGGAGAAGTTGATTTCTGCCCCCAGTGAGACCTGGGATTGTTTACTTCTGCTATAAAATGCCAGCCTTCTCAGCTACCTTACTTAAACTACACTGTAAGTCACTCTAGACACTCGTTTTGGTTTTTCCTGGACTGTGAATCAGATATTCCCTGAGCTGTTGGTCAGCATTCTGATGGTAATAGGAGATTATAGGACAGGGTGGCCATCTATCTCCCTGGGGTCATTTAAATTTGAGACCGTAGAACTTTGAACCAAGCGAAAGCTTGTTTGAAGTAAATATCGTGTGTGGCCCTGTGGTTTTCCCAATCATGTTTGTCTCCTTTACGCTCCTCCTATTTTTTTCTTATTTTCTGTGGTCAAATTCTCACTGTAGGTGGTTCTCAAGCCTCTCACATGCATTAGAGAAAAGTTGTGTGCAAATCTCTGTTGTGGAGGTGGTGTGGATGCCAAGGTGAGCGCCACGGGCAAGAATCCTGCCCACCGTGAGTCCTTTGCAAGGCAAAGAATTACTCAGTTTAGAACACCTGTGCCCTGACTTAGGCTTCTCTGTGTGGTTCTCATACATTGGATTTTTCCTGGAGCAGACTACAGAATCGGAAGCGTCATGAAACAGGGACCTGCCCCCTCCCTGGAGATGCGCATAGTCCAGCCACGGCCTGTGGGAATTAACCAGTGAGCTTCTGATCTGTGGGCCAGGCAGTCTTTCCTTCCCTCCCGTTTGTTTTCTTGGCCTGACGAAGTAACGGCTGACAGAGGATGAATGTCTGGGTGTTACAGATCCCAGGAGTAATTAGTTATCTTTGCACCACATTGGTTTTACACTGGAGGTAATGATCCCGATCATCAGTTTCTGACAGTCTCTGCCATGCCGTTTTTCCGTTCCATGGCGATTCCATCCCTAACTCCAAGGTGATCTAAAAGAAATGGATTTGTGAGCCACAAACAGCACTTTAAAATGGGGCAGAAGGATGGGAATCAAGGTCTGCAGTTTTGAAAAATGTTCTGAGAGATTGACAGACTAATTTTCATCTTGGCTAAGGTAATTCAAGTCGGTTTTTATGGTGAATTAGGTGTGGACTCTGTTCTCTATTTCCCTCATCCTTGGGTGTGACAGATCCCCACGCAAACCCCCCACCCCAACACACACACACACACACACACACACACACACACAGAGTAACAAACAAGCCACAAGACTTCAGAGCAGGTAGAGCAACCGCAGCCCCCTCCCCACCCCCCTTTTGTCTATCCCTTCCCAAAGCACTCACATTTGTATTCGACGTGTCTTCCAAAAAGATGAATGACCCTTTGGAAGGTGTGTGTGTTCATTTTCAAATATCCCCTGCCATGTGGTTTTTGAATAGCATGTGCTGTGTGGCTGGAGAGAAAAGGAGCAGTTCCTGACAGCTCAGCAGAAGAGCGCAGCCTCACCTCCCCCGGGCTACCCTCCTGGCACTGTCACCGCTCGCCCTCTCCCGTGCAGTCCTGCCGCCTCTCTCCATGCTTACCGCAGAGCCCCCACCCCCCACTCTGCAGCGTCACTTTCCTTCCTGTCTAGTGGCAGATTTTTCTTTGTCTGCGAACATGCTTAAGTTTTTATTATCTTTACAGCAAGAGGGGAAAAAGTGCCGATCCCAACAAAACTTCCCTCTGCACTTCTTTTGCTTATGAGCCATCCTGTGCTGCTACTTGCACATCTGGACTGCTTGAAAGAAGAATCCATATTTCCTGGTGCTATTGCTTTACCTCCCAAAGCTCTGACGTCTGGCTTCTGCCTGTGGTTCTCTTCTGAACCTGCCTTCTCAGAGGTCCCCGGGACCACTTGGTTAATGAAACCAGCGATTGTTCTTAGTAGTCCTCAGCTTTATCCAAACTCCTCCTCCTCTGTCTTCCCTGCCAGTGTGTTCTTCATGCTTCCTTCACTCCCCTGAGCATCCCTCTCTGGCCCACCTTCTCTGTCCTGTGGGTCTTCCCAAGGTTCCTGGCCCTCTTTACCTCCCGGAGTAGAGGACCTGTCTGTGTTGTTAATCTGCCCAGTCCCTGGCCTCGGCCATCATCACGTGGACGTGACTGCCAGCCTCTGTCCAGCAGCCCAGCCTCTCACCTGTTCTTCCTCATACCGAGGTCCGGAGAGGGGAGGAGCCTTGCTGGAGTCACAGCAGATGTTCCTAGTGTCTGTATATTTCCAGGGTCCATTCTACCTAGGCACGCGCCCCCATTTCAACCTTGGAAGGATGGTTCACTTTGGCCAGAAAGATAGAACTTCACCTGTACTCTAGCGGTAGATACAGTTGCCCGCCTCTTTCCAGAGCTTGCTGACGGAATGGTAAGCACTTGTGCTAGAGGGGTCTATAGGCTTTCCGTGATCAGGCAGGTCATGCTGTGCAGAGAAGTGTTTATGAGAAAAGAAAGGGTCTTGTGAGTGAGGACTCTGAGGTCAGCAGTCGGGGAAAGCGTGAGGGGCTGGTTTACCAGGTAGGGGCTCTGAGCAGCCAGAGGTAGTTTGGAGGAGGCAGGTCTCTGGTGGAAGCCACCTGGCCTTGGAGCCATCGTGGGGTCTTCATAGGTGTTAGTGGGTATTGTTGAGGGGACCCCGTTGTCCTCTGGGGACATGGGACCGGCTCTCTGTGAAGGCATTGCCAGACCCGCTTTATCAATGTGTCAGCTGGCCAAGGCAAAAGGCTTTCCTGGGGAAAGAAAGTCAGCGTGTCAGGATCTGGATTCTTAAAGCCATCTTTGTATCTTTCATAAAATTCAGAGAGTTTGGTTTCTTTATGGAGGCTGTCTTGGAGCAGATTTATTTTATTTTTCTCTAAATGACTCTCATTATAGGATGTGTGCTATTAATACAGATGCTGGTGGCTTGTAGCCACTGGGGTTCTTATCTCTTCTCACATGCATTCTGACATGTTGCTACATTTTGGCTCCTTGCTGCCAGGGGCCTGCCAGCAGCTGGACTGCTTTTACATGATCTGGTTGAGGGTGCTGGACTGGGGATGGTGGAAAGGCTCTCTGATCCAGAGGCAGTGTCTGTGTCACCCTGGACTGACTGTCATCATTACAGCTGTGATCTCACCCAGCAAGTTGTGTTCGAAAGATGGACAGAGCAGAAAAGCCAGAGGCCCTGGGTGCCACTCTGCCTGCAGTCCGGGAATCGAGGGGTTTTCTTTTGTTGTCCCACTGAACTACATGCCACTGAGCCCTTCCTCGGGCACAGAGAGCTGTGACCTCCCTCACTGCTTAAACTTGCGTTTGTCAAGCTCCAGAGGTGGTGGGAGGACAGAAGAGAACCTGCACAACAAAGTTTGGACTGGAAGAATTGCTTACACTCTACAGTGGCTTTCTGGGGAAACTGATGGACGACTTAATGCTGGTGTGACTTAGATTTTAAAATTGTGGGGTCTAGAGTCAGGCTCCTGTGTTTATATCTTGGTTTCGTCACTTTCTGGCAATTTTCCCATTTGTAAAATGGATTTAAACAATAGTATCTACCTCAGGGGGATTTTTGCGAGAATTTAGTGACATAATACATAAATCCCCCACTTTGCAAAAGTTCATTTTATGCCACTTTACTTTTACAAAAGGCCTACATTAGTACCTGTTTTTGCTAACTGAAAGACATTTGAAGAGGATTTACACTTTAAAAAAAAACGGTGAGAAGCGAAAATCGTGTTCAGCGTTTGTTTTGCCGTGAGCCCTTACGGAGGCAGCTCACACCCTGTGCAGTGAGGGTGGCCCCGCCAACTCCTTCCCTGGTAACCACACTCCGCATCTCAGCATCCAGCGTTGGAGCTCTGACCTGGGTCTGTGAGCGTCTGTGCTTTACCTCGATTTACTTTCTGCATCTGTTAGCTAAATAGATGTGTCCTAACATAATTGTTTCTTCGCTTCACCTCATTTCAGCTAACGAAAGGGTCCATAAGAACGCTCTACGTTCGGATAGCAGGGGAACCCTGTACCTTTAAAGCACTTAGGGCTGGACACATAGATAGCAAGCTCTCAATAAATTGTTGTCTATCACGATGTTCGAAATCCTGCAGAATAGCCATTGCTCTGAGTTCTGAGAATGCTGCAGGCCCTTCTCCGTATGTGGACAACACCTGTCTCTTCTACTCGGGTGTGCATCTGAAGGAAGCTACAAGCTCCAGGAGACTGGGTTATGCTCCCTTTTGCTTGTAGTGTAGTGGAGAAAACAAGCAGACAGCACTTGGCCCACAGTAGGTGTTTAACAAATCCTTGTTGAATGAATAAAGTTGTGAGCATATTAAGAACAGGAATACGGAAGAGTGTGGGATGTTAGGTGTAGCTCGGTCATGTTGGTTAGTTTGTGGCTACTGGAACCTTCATCATTCTGGAGATCATGAGAATAGGTAGGCAGCAAATTGTTGGGGAAATTGTTTGTTTGTTTGTTTGTTTATTTATTTTCAGTTCTACAAGACTACCCTCCGCCCACCCCCCTCAAATGCTGGTCACAAGCCCAGGTGTTTCTAACCAACAGGCTACAGATTGGAGGTTCCAGTGACCTTGGACATCAGATACCAGTTGCAAGTCCAGATTGTTACCTGTACTTCTGACTATAAATTGGAGGTTCCCAAGGCCCTTTCCTTGGGTCTTTCTCTCTCTCTCTTGTTTGGAGTAAGGAAAGGTTTGCTGATTGAGAAGGAACCAACCAAGAAGATAGGAGACCACCTAATAGTGCCTCAAATTCACCTTGCTTGCTGGACTAAGCTAAATATTTTTTTAGAGTGTTATGCAGAAGTGCTGGAGGGCCAAGTTTTAATTGGAACTTGGCCATTTATTGTAAAGAGGTGTCAACACCGCATACCTTGACAATCTTCCTGGACAATGGACCCTTTGCTTCTGAAAGGGTTTCCATGTTCAAGTTCCGGTTATGTGCTTGTCCTGTGATTCTGCGTGTGTGTTTGGGGGTGGGGGGGGGGCGAGACTTTGGCTCTGGGTACAGCCGGAAGTCCAAGTCCTCTGCTCATGCTTCGGCTGCAGGACTTCAGCTTTTGGTCTGTTGTCTCTGATTCTTGGGTTTCTTTAATTTGCTAGGAGCGGCTCACAGAACTCAGGAAATTCTTACTCACTAGATTACTGGTTTGTTATAAAAAGATTTAATTCAGCAACAGCCAGATGGGAGAAATGCACAGGGCAAGGTATGGGGCTAGGGCATGGAACTCCATGCTTCTCCTCGTGTATCACTACCTCCACATCGCATGTTCCCCTGCCCAGAAGCCTGTTATTATTTTTTAAAACAGCTTAATTGGCATACAAAA